TTATTTTTTAGTCCAAGTCTAACCCGATGGAAGATTCTCACTTAGGCAACTGGAATTTCACTGTAAAGACTTTCTCTGACAAGATGGAGACCTCATACCAACTTGATCAAACCACTTACCAAGAGGCCGAGAGAAATGTTGGCAGCTTTTAAACATATCATGAAAAATCTGGATCTGACCAGTGAGCAGCTCAGCCAAACAAGATATTTAAAAAAATGATTATCATCTTTTGAATTTGTAGTGCTCGATACGATTCGGTACAAAACTCTTACTACTGTTAACGATGTTTGTCTTAAACGGATTAGGGCTCTTGGTTGCAAGTTATCTAAGAGGCTGCAGTTGTAGTTGACCGCTAGGATTCGAAATTGAACTCGCTCCTAAAATAAAGCGTGAGCTAAAGCGCTTTCATGATGAGGCATCAAACACAGTCCATTTCTATGAAAGCCAAATAAAAGATTTTAAAGTGAACATTTTCAATGTTGGTTTAGATGATCTCATCCAGCAGATTGATTCAATATTTGAAACAAGCAGGGTGGTTGGCAATATTTTCATTCTTCAGGTTGAATAATAATCTTTTTAAATAATCCGTTTAAAATAAAGCATGAGAACTCGCACGGTTTCATCTGAGAGATGTAAGCAAAAAGAAGAAGTTCGCCGTTTTACCAATGCCCGCAAAACAATTTTCAAGCAAGCAATCTAATGCAGTTTTTTAATCTAATCTTTTAGAAGAAGCTTGAACGCTTTTTCCATATATTTGCATCATGCCTCGAATTTTCAACACCATTTTTAAGTTAGTTGCTGAGGGTGAACTATTGTTTTGTAAACTGAAAGTTGTAAGAAAACTCCGTTCGACCATGTGTCAGGATCACGTTACTGGTATTTGATTATTTTGATTAAAAAAGATTCGACTAAAAAGGTGAGTTACAAGAACGTCATTAAAATTTGGACGGCCAAAAAGCTCAAAAAATCATTTTAAAGCGATTTTTTACCTTTCTTAAAAGTTTTATTGATTGATTTTTTAATAGTTTTAAAACTAATATTTTGATTCATTTATCAGTTTTGATTAATGAATCATTTCTTAATCCAGAGAATTAATAGTAACGCAAAAATGAAATGTGCTGTATCAGAAATAAATAAATTGCTGCGTTCACAAAATTTTTAAAATTTTAGAATTTTAAAAATTTTGTGAACGCAGCAAATGAACGCTCATCATTTTTGACCCGGGCGCCATTGGCTCCCTCGAAGGCCCTATATATATATATATATATATATATATATATATATATATATATATATATATATATATATATATATATATATATATATATATATATATATATATATATATATATGTATATATATATATATATATATATATATATAAACTATTTTAGAGTTAAAGGGCGCTCTGCTGCTGCAGAAGAGCACCCTTTAACATAAACTCCAATTTGTAAAACATAAACTTACATAAACTTCAATTTATAAAAATTTATTTACTGAACAGATCTGTTCAGTAATGAGTTTATGTAAAGAGGCGCAATTTTATTTAATTTTGAAATCAATTTCAAAGAGATGCCATAAAAATTTGTTTCCAAATGATATTAATTTTCTTTTATTTATTATTTTTTTAATTTAATTTACTTTTAATTTACTTTTCGGGAACTTTGCGCCCTACCAAGTTTGGCGCCTTGGGCCGCGGCCCAGCTGGTCCCGCCCTTGGTGCGGGCCTGCTGAGAGGTATATTATTATCACTATTTTTTATAACACGACTTTCAAACGTGCACTATAACTTTGCAAACGCGCACTTAAAACCTTGCAAACACGCACTTATAACTTTGAATAGTCCTAGCAACACTAATTGAATCAATGTATACCTAAAGTGTTCTAAGTCATTTTTTTTTAATATTTGACTTTTTGATGAAAATTCGTTCTTAGAAGACAGTTCCACCGTTGTATAGTAAAACATTCCAAGTCAGACCTTTCCATACACGTTGAATAGAGAGCTGAAATGTTGTCTGTAAACTAAAAGGTTCAAGGTCAGTGACTTAGAAGGTTTTTGTTTTTAACGACAAATATGAATTAAAACATGTTATTATAAAATGTCAAATAAACCCAAAAGGGGAATTTAGCGGCAATGTATATAGTTCTAATAAGTTATAGACATGTTTCATTTACTATTTCAAGTACTCAATATTGGTTCTCATAGGTTCCCTAAATTATCTGACACTTTTAGTACAAAATAAAAGTATTGCTTGTTGAAAACTTCGTTTTTTAAAACCAGTTTATAAATGTATTATAAATGCTGATCTTTTCTTTATATTATTTTCATAAATTATGTAATTAAATGGAAAAGAAATGTTGTTAAAGAAGCTTGAGTGAAAGGTAAAGAGTACATTGACTACAAAGGAAGAACTGTATCTGCTACTACTGTTGGAACTGATTGCAGGTGAGATTTGTATTGCAATTTCGATACCCAACTAGCCTTTTAAAAGTTTGTTTAGGCCTATCATAGCATATCATGCAACATGTTTTCATAAAATCGTCTTAAACAAAACTAATCCAACACATGCCATAATGTTCCATTTAGCCTGATGAATTGACCTTAAACAGTAGCCAAATGTTATAGCCAAATTACTCAAATATCATTTTTTAGAGTTTGGCTATGGCATTTAGGCTAATCTCGAAAATTTATATCAGCATATTCTAAAAGATATTTTGCTTTTAAATGGTCGAAGAAATGTACAGAATGTCTAAAAAACCAGAGCGACGACATCTTCGCAGCATGAGATCGTTACAAACAAAAAACGAGCAAGATGTGTTTTTACAATCGTTGATTACAAGCATGAAAGTAAAAACTCACCAACCCAGAAAGAAAGGTGTCAAAGGAAGAGTAGCTCATGACTTTTCATTTACATACGAGGTTTTGGTGGGGGATCCCAAAGAAAAGATATGTGTGGATGTCTTTAAAAGCCTTTATGGTATTAAAATTAGTCGTATTCGATAATTGCGCTCCCTGTTGGTATTAGGAAAATCACCAAAGAACCTTCGAGGGAAAAAATTAGAAACGAATGCAATCAGTGGCAATGTAAGACTTCTGATAAGAGAACATTTCAAAAGTTATCCGGTGAAACAGAGCAAATATGCTAGTAAAACTATCAATTATCTAGATCCTAAACTAAATTTCAAAATTTTGTACTCAATGTTTAAAGAAAAACATCCTGAAGCAAAAAGTAACGACAAATTTTTTCTAGGCTACTTTAACGACAACTTTACGATAAGATTTAGCCGTCCCCAGATAGACTCTTGTTGCACCTGTGAGGAGCTTAATTTAAAATTTTGAAGCCCTCATCTCAGTGATGCAGCAAAGAGAAATGCTGCTGCTGATGCTGCACAAACGTCAATCGAAAATATTTTACAACTCCAAAATGAAAGCAACCCGGAAACAAAACAAAATAAAATCTTAGCGATCGACTTTTTACCTCAGACAGCTATCTGTTAATCTTTTCTCTATTCACGATGTGAAATGCAATAAAGGTCATGTTTATGTACACATATGTGTACCATAAAGGCACAGCCAGAAAAAGCCCTGATAAAGTGTATTCTTTTGTGAACAATTACCTAATGTCTGCTTCTCCACAGTTTACTGAAGTCCATGTCTACTCAGATAACTGTGGAGGCCAAAATAAAAACCATGCACTAAACAAAGTTATTTTATCTCTCACAGATACTGGCCGATTTGATCGAATCAAGCAGTACTACCCAATAAGAGGTCATTCGTACCTACCTAGTGACCGGGACTTCGCGGTAGTAAAGAGAAAACTAAAAAGTTATGAAAGGGTGTACACTGTTCACCAGATAACTGAACTTACTTCTTGTACTACTGGTAAATTTATTGTTGAAGAAGTCGCAACTGAAGATATTGTAAATTTTCAAAAGTGGTGGCCAACATTCTACAAAAAATCTTGCATTTCGGAAGAAACATGGGGAAAGAAAGTTTTTGCTAAGGATAAGATAAGTTGTGGAATAAGTTCTCTAATGCACTTCTTTTACGGGAGTTGTCCAGATCTAATTATCTGTAGGCCCCTCATTGATGGGCTGATGGTCCAAACTTACAAGGTGTCTCAAGTCATCGATCGCATCGTCAAGTTTCCGCAAAATGTGTGCTACCCATTGGGTAATGTTCCGATAAAAAAAAATGAAACTGCAGGATATTAGGAAGCTAATGCAATATGTTCCGGATGAGTTCAGTGGTTTTTATGATGAACTAATGGTCTGCCCAACAACCGACGAGGCAAATGACGGAGAAGAACATGATATCCAGTGAGGTGTCTGACAAAGGCTTTGTAATCGGTCCTTTTATACATTGTGTGAATTAATACGTTCAATAGTTTGACTTTTGCTTTTTAATATTTTTTTGTACAAAAAATGAATAAATATATAAAAGACAAGTTTTTTTTTATTATCCTTAGGGGTCGTCCATAAAGTACGTACGCTCAGAGAGGAAGAGGGGGTGTACAAATGGCGTTTCTGAGATAAGGGGGCAGTTGGTCAATTATAAAAGTATGGAGACACTAAATTAAAAAAAATACCATAAAATGTTGGGTTGGAAGGTTAAACGCGTAGATACTTTTCGGGAGGTAGAGAGTAATCAAAAAAGCGTATGGCAACTTGCGGGAGAGGGGAGGGGGGCGAAAAAAAAGCGTACGTACTTTATGGACGACCCCTTAACAAAAAGGTTTCAAGTCAGACAACTTAAACTATGTATAAAACATATATGTATCACAAATTTTGATACATATTTAACAAATCTAATAATTAAAGATGTTAAAAAGCACCCAGATTTTTTTTTGAATTTATTAAAGTAATAATTTTGGATTTAATACGTTTTTTTTCGTTTCTCGAAAAAATAGTTTTTGTGACTTTAAATGTTTTTGTATACATCGATTCAATTTTATTGTAGCTATTTTTAAACTACTACCATAAGGTCCGTATCGTAACGAGGGGATAATTTTGAAAACGCTGCTCTTTAATTATACGTATATAAAACTAATTTATGCATAACTTGAATTTCCTTTTAATTAGTTCATCAACATAGGTTTTACAAAACATATTAATACCTTGATGACCTAAAACTAGTGAGACTTTTGTCAAATTGCTAATGATTTATAATGGAAACATCGTTTCGAGGTAAATATTGATTGTCTTTATCATTTGATCCTCCGACTATTATTAAGTTTGATAAGGAATGTATAATATATTATACATACTATATTATACATCATATATTATTTTGATTGTTATACGGTTTGTATTGGTTGTATCTTTGTATATATGTAAGTGGAAGAAGAGAAAAAGAAAGAATCAGTCTATTTGTGTGAAATGTATATATAGTTTACCTCAGTACAATTTGATAATAAATTAAATTTATTTTCTAATATGAAAATATTTAAACAACTATATTCATAGTTGTTTTTTTACTTTTATTTAAAATTTATTTAAAATTTTTTTTTATGGATATTTATTTGATAACCTATTACTAGGATAAAAATTTATTAAAATAGTATTACAAATTTTGATAATAATAATATAAAAAATTTATAATAATAATAAGATAAAAATTTAATAAAATTTATTTAAAAAGATATTTAGATTTCATAATTACAGTTAACTACTTTGTACCTATGTACAAAGTAGTTAACTGTAATTATGAAATCCAAATATGGATATATATAAAGTTGTAAATCATATTAAGGTAGACAAAAATATTAGAATTCAATTTAAGTTCAAAAATGTTTGTTTAGTAATATTTATTAATTTATATTGAACATGCGTTAAAATAAATTAGTTTGAAGAAATTACTGTGTCCCATAATAAAAAAAAAATGATTTTTTTATATTAAAATTAAGCTCCAGAAGTTAGTCACTCATGACTAATAATAAGTCAGCTATCCTACTTATTCTTTAGATTACACTACACCTTTACATTTAAGGTAAAAAGTATAAAACAAACATCTTTCATATTACAAGTTTGTTCAAATTAAGTGGTAACATTTTACTTTTTCTTTATAGTCCAACTAAATAATATAGAATAGTATAATTAATAATAGTTAATTAAATGAATTATATATTTTTTTGTATGTGTTTTATTTAATTTTATACATTTTTTTATTTTACAATTCAAGGGATATAAATTTTATTTTTACCAGTTTTATTGATTATAGTTGAAACGGTTTGAATTGAAATATTAAAAAGTTCCCCAAAGTTGTTTTGGGGAACTCTTTAATATTTTAATTTAGACTGTTAAAAAAAAAGGGGTTTGTTGTGTGTTTCAGGCCCTTTAGTAAGTCTGGTAAAAAATTTTTACAAAATGAATATTGTCAAAAGCCATACCCTAACCAAACCCTAACCCTAACCCTTAGGGTTAGGCTCAGGGTTTAGTTAGGGTATAGCTTTTGATAAAATAAACTTTATTGTTGGTTTTAGGGTAAGAATATAGTTTTCAATAAATGTTATGTATAAAACCTGACTCGTTTTTTAAGAATTTACTAAAGGGAGGTGCCTGAAATACACATTCACCAAAAAAATAGCTTCTTTGAATTTTGAAAAACGACCAAAATTTTTTTTATTAAAGCGCCTTTTTTTTTAGTTATAAAAAAAAAAGTGCTTTTCATGATTCTCATAAAAACTTATATTTAGATATAAGTTTTTATGAGAATCATGAAAATGATCTCCTGTGAAAGGTTTTGTGTTTAAGCTCAAGCTCTAGCCATCTACAAGAAACTACTTTTTAAATGTTTTGTTAATGTTTTATGATAGTAAGTCTTTTCAATTTACTTAATAATAAATAAAAAATCCAAATGTTAAAGTTAAAAAAGCTTTTATCTAAATACTTGGTTGTCGTGTCTGTGTTAAATGTCTAAAGATTTTTCTTACTGATTATGTCAATAGTTTAACTATTATGTATGTGTCAGGCTTTCACAGGATGGTGTGCGATCACAGGTATTAATATGATCAGGCAAATTACATTTTGCTATGACAATTTGACCACAGATAGATCAAAACTTTTTTCTAAAAACGCGCTAAAAGAAAAAACATTCTGAAAAAGTGAAATAAAAGTTACATCAAAATATTTTAACAAACATTTTTAAATAAAGTAGCAATTTACTGATGATATATATTTTTTTTAATATAATTGACAGTTGTATATATTTTTTTAATTTATAATACATAAATTGCGCATTTTAATACATTATTTAATGTATTGTTATTCATAAAATGCGCATTTCTATAATAAATGTTATTAAAAATAAGAAACTGTTTTTTTAAATGATGACATTCTACAACTAAAGTCTCTTTAATAAATTTTAATATAAGAATTATTAATGTTAATACATTTAAAAAGATAAACAAAATTTCGTTGAAAAAAAAAAGTTTTAGAAAGCCTCTACAATTAAATAAGTTTGATTATAAATGCTTTTTAAAAAAGTAACAAAACACTTCTAATTAATTTTAAAATAAAAATTAATGAACTGTTGTTGTTTTTTTTATATATAATTATGTATTTTTTATGAAAAATGTTTATTTTTTGAAACATATTAAGTAAAAAAATTAAAAAGTACAGATGTTAAAACAAAAATTGAAAAGGTTTTTTAATGTGTAAATTAAATAGACTAAGCATTTTAGTTTGATGAGTTTTGTTTTAGTTGGGATATATATATATATGTATATATATATATATATATATATATATATATATATATATATATATATATATATTTGTGTTTTTGCTTTAACTAAGTATTTTTATTTTCTCTTTCGTTAAGATATTTTTTCTTTTTACAAATTTTTTTTAGATAAGTTCAAGTAAGATTTTGTTGCGCATTTTTAAATTTTAAAAATATGTCAAAAGCCGTGGTCAAATTGTTAAAACATATTATTTTTTGCATGGTCATATAAAGATGTACAATCACACGCCATCCTGTGAAAGCCTTGTGTAAATCAATTTTTCATAATGTAAAATAGTCAAGATAATATTGTTTTTTTTTAATGTTAATTCACCTCCTCAAGGCTGAGAAGGCCACTACAGACAAGGAGGCTACTTATTTGTGGTTATAACCCTCTCTCAACTCTATAACTCAGAAACATGAACCTTGACGACAAGGCTTCTGCGCTTAGAAATGAGTTGAGTGCGGTACTACCAGGGACGTAGTTGGTTTATTAGGTTTTATTTTATTTTTATTTTGTTTATTGGGTTGTTTTTTGAAGCAGTTTATTTGTAGACTACATTCTTTTATGTGCATTTTCCTCACAAAATATTTGATTCGACACACCACCACCACCACCACCATTTTAATTGTTAAAGTTGGTTACATAAATCTTTTTATAATTTTGTTTTATTTATTTTCATAAGACAATAGTAAGTTTGAAAATATTACGTTTAGTAAATGATGTAGTTTATGATTTATAAAAACTGATTCTAATCAATGGTGATTTGTTGTGAAATATATTTTTATAAATATTTTTCTGAGATGTAAAATATTTTTGCTAATGGCTAAATCTTTAATACAAGTATGTACTTTATAATTTTTAAAAGCATTTATTATAAAAATTGATTTTTATAACAGAAAGTGGAAAAAATACAAAAGAAAAATTAAATACAAATGCTATATTACAAAGAGTTATGCCATTACCAATTCATTGGGAAGAAGCATACACGCAAGATGGAAAACCGTATTATATAGATCATCTAAACAAATGCACAACTTGGATTGATCCACGAGACAAGTATGATTAAATTTTTAAGAACTTTATTTACTATGTAAAAATATATTATTTTAGATTATTAATAATAAAACATATATAATAATTTAGAAACCAATTTATTAAATAAATTAATAGTTTATTGTTTTTTATCTTTTTTGTTAAACTTTTCGTTTTAATTATTTGTGGCAAAGTTTTTAATATTTTTAATATTTTGAGCATTTATAATAATTTTTATGATTTAAATATAAAAATATATTCAAATCATAAAATTTTTGCAATGATAAAAATGATAAAATAACAAATTCAAATCATAAAATATTGCAATGCCAAAAAGGGAAATCTCAGATTTTACTTTTTGCATTGTTTTTATTCAACTGAATGGCTAAAGAGCTGTAGCAGTCTATGTCAGCATTAGAGTTTGAAAAACAGTTATAAAACTTTGTGATGATAAAATAAAAAATAAAATTTTTCTTTACTTTGTTATTATAAAGTTTAAATTATTAAAATTAGGATTTAAAATCTTGTGTTGTTTTTTACTGTTTTAAGAAAGAAACCTTCTGTGCCATTTTCTTTCATTAAAATATTAGTTAAATGTCTCAATTTATTTTTTATCTTCTCTGCATTGGTTCTGATAATTATTTTTAGGCTAACCAAACCAATCACCTTTGCTGATTGCATTGGTTCTGGTAAGCATAATGCTTTATTTACTTTCTATTAAATATTTTTTTGCCATAAAATGTTAGTTAAATAAGTTATAAGAATAATATGTTTGCATTTTTTTTTTGGTTATTCAAAGTCAAAATGGCAATGAATTAATTTCAACTAAATTAAATTTAGAATTACCATTGGGATGGGAAGAATACAAAGATGAAATCATTGGAACATACTATGTTAACCATTGTTCAGGTTTTTAAAACTATTCTTACTAATAATGAATATAAGCTGATTATTACACTCATTTGAATCTTTTAGTTTTAAATAAAATTTTTATATGTGAATTGTTTTTTTGAACCAAATCTTATTTTGAAAAAAAAAGTTTTTTTGTTTCTGGGTTTAAAAGTTAAATTGAATTATTATAAACTTTTACTTAAGTTAAACAATTATGTTATGTTATATAAGCGCTCAAAAATATCTGCACTGTTAAAATGTTTATTACAAAATAAAAATTTTTAAATTAAGGTAATACCTTGAGTTGATATTTATTTCAGATGATGAAAAAATATACCAACATACTTAAATAATTTTTTTACTCAGCATTTTTGTACTTACAGGCAAAATATGCCGATATGTGCACATATGCCCATGTAAATTTAGTGGTGGACTACAATCATACAAATTTATAGGTGAACCATAATCATACTAATATATAGGTGGATCACAATTATACAAATATATAGGTGGACCACAATCATACAAATTATAATAATTAATGCTATAAGAAAAATAAAATAGAAAATTAGTTTATTAGAAATCATATGATATTTTGAACTCACAATTTTTTTGAAAAACCTTTTTATTAGCAAAGTTCAGCAGTTGGCTTTGAATTGAGTTAGCAAGAAGTCTGTTACAGTGAGGTATCTAAGAATATAAACAATATCTATGAAGGCTAAAAAAGAAAAAAAAAAGACTAAAGGCAACAAAAGTAAAAACAACAATCAAAATACACAAGTATTAAAAACACCTTATCATATTAAAAATTTTATAATAATTAATATTTTATATAATAATTATAATTTTAATAAAATAATTATAGTAATGATAATTGCATCGAAACAAATTCATTTAGGTGTTTCTAATATGCGCTTCAAAACATGTTCCGCATAAATGATTTGTTTATGTTTAATATTCTAATACTGCATCACTCTCCATACTGGATTCTGAACAATTTTCTTAAGAATTGTTGGAATATTCTATATTTAGGAAGAGTTTTCTATATGGGTTTTCATGAAAAAAGATTTTAAAGAAGAAAATTTTTTTTTTTCCTTAAACTGTGTGTATCAATTGCAGCCAATCAAACTTTTGAATGTTTTTATTTTGTGCTTCCATAATAGAAGTTTTTGATTAATCAAAAATAAATAGTTTTCTAAGATTTTAATTACTTTGTTAGTTTCGTGTTATGGTGCATTTGTAACTTTGTATCTTTTTAATATTTGATACTTTTTAATAAAAAGTTGTCTAACAACCAATTCAGTTGCATTTTAAAACAATTAAATGTTGAAAAGTTCTGAAAATTAAGTTATGTTAACAAGTCATTACGGAAACATTATTAGTCTTTATTGGAAAAAATGATGAGGCACAGAATTATGTTATATGAGGGTATATACATGTTACATACTTGTCAGACCTTTCAGTCAACAGTGACTAAAAGGTCTGACTAATGTGATTTCTTAATGAAACATTTCTATACTCAAATAATATGATAACGTGCTTGACTCATTTTTGTCTATAAATGACTTATGGTTTTTCTAAAATGACCCATTCAAATATAAAGTTATTTAAAAGTTTTAAAAGAGTATTGGATGATTGGTTTGAAAAATGTCACTAATATAATTAAAAAATAATAACTTAAAAAAAGCGGGTTCGATTAAAAACAAAATTTTTAACTTCTGAAAATCTTTTTTTTATAGAAATAAATCAATATGAAGATCCTCGCCATCAATGGCAGAAAAAGCAAGAAAAAATGCTGAAAAAGTATCTGAAGTATATTAAAAAAGATCTTCAGGTTAACTATAAAGTTTTGAGTAAAATTTGCATGCAAATAGACTATAAAAGTAAGAAAAATAAACAAACAAAAAGCACTTTTATTTTTAAAAATACTTTAAATTTAACAAATAATTTCTTCTTTTTTTTTTTTTTTTTGTTAGTTGATTTTAAGAAATATTTTTTATTTTTATTTTGAAAATGTCATTGATTTTAAGTTGATTTTAAGAAATATTTTTTATTTTTATTTTGAAAATGTCATATGTCAAATAAGTAATCAAATAAATTCTACATCTATTTAAAATATATTTTAATACAAAGTATTTTCTTTCTTATTATATAGGATTGATTTGAGTTTTATTTCAGTTTTAAGTTTAATTTTTGCTCTTTAGAGTATTTTTTATTTTTATAATTTAAATACTTTCATTTATTCACTATGTTTTTTAATTCAACTTTTAAACCTTAAGCATTTGACAGTGTTTTGACCCAATTTAAATTTATTTTAAAGTTTTATTTAAATTTGAAAATTTAAAACCACTCAATTATATTCAACATGAACTAACACAACAATTTTTTTATTTATTTAATAAATTGAATTGAGAACTATGTTTTAAAGTAAACCCTACCGTAGAATGTCAGTATTAGTAACATTTTTTAATTTTTAGTATTATGCTCTTAGGCATAAAAACATATGGAACTGTTCAAACCTCTCGATTGAATCTCTTCTGATGGAACTGTTCAAACCTCTCAATTGAATCTCTAGTAGTATTATGACAAGTTTAAAACCATTATTTCTCTAATTCAAGTCAGACGACATTTAAAGGCCTCTAATTCAAGTCAGATGGCATTTAAAGACAACTAATTCAAGTCAGATGACATTTAAAGACCTCTTATTCAAGTCAGATGACATTTAAAGGCCTCTAATTCAAGTCAGATGACATTTAAAGGCCTCTAATTCAAGTCAGATGACATTTAAAGACCTCTAATTTAAGTCAGATGACATTTAAAGGCCTCTAATTCAAGTCAGATGACATTTAAAGACCTCTAATTCAAGTCAGATGACATTTAAAGGCCTCTAATTCAAGTCAGATGACATTTAAAGGCCTCTAGTTCAAGTTAGATGACATTTAAAGGCCTCTAATTCAAGTCAGATGACATTTAAAGACCTCTAATTCAAGTCAGATGACTTTTAAAGGCCTCTAATTCAAGTCAGATGACATTTAAAGACCTCTAATTAAAGTCATATGATAATTAAGTATTTGTTCAAATAATTATGCCTGAAATTCATTATGCCTGTTTAAATAAAGTTTAAACAGGCATAATGAATTTCTCATAGTTTTATGTTGTTTTTTTCCTAATTATCGATCTATAATACGATTGCTTGTGAAAATGAAGAAAAAAAAATTAAAGCGATTTGTTTTATTGTTGCAAAAGTGATCTTTACTATATGACATTTGTTAAACAAGTTTAAAAAAGCAATTCAGCTCACAAATGAACAAATTTAAACCAACTATTGTACTTTTGTTAAACAAGTCAAAAACAGTTTAAACATTTTGTTTAAATTTTCTTAGGTGTAGCACTTTATTTCTTCACCTTTACTGTAATATCATCTTTAACTCCAATACACTCAAATGGGGAAACAAAATCTTTTTTAATTTAGTATTATATTATCATAAGTAATACCTCACATTTTTAATTAAATGCACTTTAAATGTCTTTGAAAAAAAGTTAAACAAAATTTGTTTAACTTTTTTTCAAAGACATTTAAAGGCTATTTTTTTTTTCAAAGCCATGATTTTTTTCAATCTGCCCATAAAGGTTGCCACCATTTAAGGCAAATTTTGACCCCTCTTTGTCACCGGTTGTCCTTTTTGCCTATATATTTGACATATATTTTGCCTTCCTTGAAAAGGATGTCATAAAATTAGGTTCTTCCCCCCCCCCTTTTTTTTTTTTTTAAATTAAAATCCGTTTATAATTTAAGCATGTTTGTTGGCGTTTTTTACATGTAAATTACAGTTTTCTGTGTTTTGTGTGAACTTCCATGTTTGAATCATGTAGTTTGTTCATTTAGGACTGAAATAAAAATAACAACATTATTTTAGTCTTATTCTATATATTAAATTTAATCAACTCTCTTTTGCACTTGGCAGCAATGTGAGCAGGTCTGACTCACGAAAGAAAAAAAATTTGGTCAATAACATTGGACAAAGAAGAGCTAACATGCTTTTTGAGCAGGGTTTGAAAGGCAAAGTACAAGTTACAATGCTAACAGATTCTCTGAGACAAAAATCAATTGCGCAGAGGATAAAACAGATCATAAGAAGGAAGTTTGAATGATTTTAATGATCAAGGAATGGTGTTCTAAATGATTTCAATGATCAAGGAATGGTGCTCTGAATATTAAAGGCGATAAAGAAAAATACAGAAGGGAAGCGATTCTTGATGTAATGTATGAAACAGCTTCAGTTTTCAAGCCATCTTCTGAATGGAAGATTGGAATGTGTGGAGGCAAATATCGGCCAGGAATAGCATGGAAATTAGAGCTCCTTGTCAAAGAGCAACATCCAGGGTTCTTAAATTTTTAATTTGCTTCAAGTATTGACTGGTGCACACATAAGAGGAAAACCAGTCCCGATCCTTTAATAAGAAACAATGAGGAATGAATTTGAAAACCTTAAGAATCTAAATGAGTTCCTTAATGAATGATAATCAATCCCGCCTCCAAATCTTGTTTTTCTTTGATCTCATTCCATATTAGACTTCTTTTTGACTATCTTTTTTTTTCATAGTTGAGCGTTAATAGCATATATAAGCATTGTTTTAAGATATTTTTGGTGAATTTAAAAGACTGTAATGATTGCTATACAACTAACTCCTTTAGACAATTATTAATGGTTGTTACACAAGCTATTCCCTTTAGAAAAATATTTGTAATACTCACTTTAGACAATCATTAATTGTAGCAAAACTAATTCAATCATTAATTTTAGCAAAACTATTTCCTTGGGGACAAATTTGGCACAATAAATTTGGAGACCAATTCCGCACAAAGAATTTCAACAAAAAGCTGTAGCTTTCAACTTATGATAGTAGTGGTAAAAGTGCTTGCCTCATAAGTGAGAAGTTCTGAGGTTGATCCCCATCACATCCCTGGTAGTACCGCACTCAACTTATTTCTCCTTGCAGCAGCTTTGTTCGTCAAGGTTCGTTATTCAGAGTTATAGAGTTGAGCGTTGGTTGTAACCACAATTAAAGTAGCCTCCTCGACTGTAGTGACCTTTATGGCCTTGGTGAGGTGAAGTATCATGTTAATCTTAATTTGGGACACCATTTTGAAAATGGTTTAAATAAGAGTTTGATATGGTTTACTTTTTAAGTATTGCTTTTAAGTATTAATATTGACCAAATAACAGATTTTTTACTTCTTTTTTTTTTATTATTTATTTTTTATATTTTAACTTCTTCAAAATTAATTTGACTAAAGAAAATCTTTTTGCTCTTAAAAATGTTTACAATTATTTTAAAATTAGATTTATTTGGATTTAAATACAATTTTTTTTACATTTCTTTATCTGTTTTAATATCTAAAAACAATTTGTGTTAAGATTTATTTTTTGTAACTAAAACAATCTGTTAAGTTACTTTTGCAAAGTCAGAGATTTGCCTTACACTTAAGTGCAGGAATGCACTAATTCAATTAATAATTTTTTGGTTTAAGATTTTTAAACTAAAAAACAATCTCCATTTAAACATTTGTACGTTTCGAAGGAAAAATCCAGAGCATTCTTTTTTTTTTTAAACAGATTATTTTTTTTAAGTTAATTGTTTTTAAGATAACTATGTTATCTCAATTAATATTTTCATAAAAAAAGTTGCTTTTTTCATCAAATTCTTAACTATGGCATGGTGAAATCTTAATTTATTTTTTAGTATTTGTTTTCTTTGTTTGTACGTTTATACATTTTTTTACTTTACCATGCTAGATAATTATGGCTAAGTACCAATTATATCTAGTTTTAAATTTTTCTGCTAAATATCAAATCTTTTATTTCAAAAAAAATAGTCTGCATTTGAATGAGAAAAAATAATTTTCTCAGATGAACCCCACCGCATCAGATGACCCTACCGCGTTAGAATTATTAAATATTTTACACCCTACCCTATTGTTAAAAATTTTCAGGCTCGAAAATTTTTTTGTTTGTGACACAATCTATGTTTATTTTTATTGTTTACAATGTGGAGGCGATTTTAAGTGAAATCTGGTTAATTTTTACATTTGCAATGTAATGTTTATATTACATTTTTGATGAACCTCATTCATTCCATTTTCTGACAGGTTAATTCAGATGTTTTTTCAAAGCCTGGCAATCTTTATATAATTTTTGTTAATAAATATTTTTTATTTTAAAGTTATAAATTATAAAAAAAAAGTAACCCTGATTGGCGCCTATATTTATCCAAATTTCTCTATATTATTGGTGATGGACCTTTTTTTTCTTCTTAGGTACCTTCTTTTCATTTGGCGCCCCTAGGATATCTGCCGCCCGAGACAAACTGTCCCTTCCTCACAAACGGCAAACATTTTCTGCAGTTACACAAATAGAATTCTTGATAAGCAAAATTGACAAAACAATAGGAAAATAAAATAAGAAAACAGAAATGAAAATTAAAATTAAAAACTTTATTAAACTATAAATCATTTATTATGTGATTTTAAAAAATTAAAGATTAAAAAGAAAAAAATGAATACAAGAACTAAATCACAGGCAAACTTAAACAATATAATAGAAGTCTTCTTAGTTTCTTAATTAGAAAGTTTGTAACCTAGGTAGAAGTATTCTGGAAAAAAAACTTTTACCTGCATATCAAAATTTTACCGTTTTTATCCTTAGACAGTAGAATTAGCTGGTAGTTCGTGTATATTAATTGTGGAATCAATCAGACTTAACCTATGCAATGTTTTGATGAAGAACAGACCTTTTCAGAAATAATAAAAAGGTGAGCCTCGATCTACTTGAAATAAAATTCAAATCAAAGTCTCACTATGAGGCTACTATTACTTTTATAAATAATACGCGAATTCAATAATTATATCATTGTTGATATACTGAAAATGAGTTACTGATATCAGTTATCGTCATACGAAGACCTTTAATTTCCATTTGAAATTTTTTATGTAGATTAATTCTTATAGTCTAGAATATAGACGTTGATCTAAACAATGAAAAGTTTTAATTATAGAATAATAATAAAAAGTTCTCTATTCCCTATTGTTCTAATTTTTTTCTTCCTAAAATTCCTTTGAAGACTTTATTTGTATATGAAATATTGTGTACCTTATTAACACCATCATTTTTGTATTATCACGTTTGTCCTATTAAAAAAACTTTCGTTATACGGGTCTATAATATGCTTTTTTAAAGCCGTAATATTTTTTAAAAATTTTTAATAAAAAACAACAAAAAATATCAAGCATATCTCGATTGATATTAGGTTTTTTAAGCAACCAGTTATGTCAATAGGCACTTTTAAAGGCAGCCAGTTATGTCAATACTTATGCATTGTTTCAATACCATAATAAAGAATGTTTATTGAAGTCTTACAATAGAAATTCTTTTCATAATTTTGCAGTAATTCCGTAAGTAGCTATATTATGCAATGCCTGAATTTATAGGAAAAATAATTTATCGGCCTATTTAAAATCTTTTGGCAACTTAAGTTTATAAATTTTAATATTTTGATAACTCAAATTTTTTGTGGTTATTATCTGGTGAGTAAATAATTGTTTAGTTTTTTTTGTCGTATTTAAATAAAATGAACTTTTACAAAATAATAATTGCACGCGAAAATAAATTGTAATAAAAACGAACTACAAGACTGTTAATACAAAAGTAGTACTCACTAAAAAAATTATTTATATGTTCAATATTTTTTGAACACTATATTATTGCCGAATTAAATTAGACCACAATGTAGAGGATAGACGCAACCTTCTCCTCCTTCTGAGTGTTTTAACTTATCCACAATAATTTTATTCCTTCGTTCTCCCCGCACGTTTTTTATTTTCGACTACGAGGAGAAACAAAAGAAAATAGAAATAAAAATAAATCAATGGAGACGAGACGCTTAAGAATCTTTGGAAATGTTTGTTGGAAAAATGCAGACAAAGAAATTCGTTGCTTCATTAAAATGACTTAAATAAGAACGCTAAACAATAAAGACTTTAAAATTAAGCTAAGTACAAAACTTGAAGTTCAACCCACTAAAAAAAAGTGACCAGCGATGCTGAACAAAGTTGATTTGTACCGTTCAAAAGATTTCTAAAAAATAAAATGAAAATAAAAGTTTTATTTTTATATATTTTTTTTATTGTATCCATATCATTGTCTCACAGCTGTGTTTATAATAGTATCATTATAAATTTTTTAGGATTTGCCTTTGATATTCAAAGGGTTAAAATTTTTGAAAACTTTATTTGTTGATTCTTTTATATTTGGTATTCGATGCATATTATTCGGTAAAACTGACGTTCGTTGCATCAATAATTATTTTAAGAGCATCGATAATTATTTTTAGAGAAAAACAAGTTGCTGGATAAACATTTAATTACTATAAAAAATAATTATTTTTAGTTTTATTTAGTTTGCATAATGTTTTTAGACGGACTTTCTTAAAATATAAAAAATTGTACGTTTATGTTTACTTTGTATTTGACGTTTATCAGGCTGTGTTTGTTATTTAAATAACTACGTTATTTAAATACGAGAGCATCACAAGCATTTTCCAACTCTTGATTACGCCCGAAGATGAGGTAGCTATAATGGGAAACACATAGCAGATAACTTTTAATGTATTTATTTAAAGGAAGTAAATTTTTCAATAAACAAAACATTAGATTTTTAAAGAATTTTTAGGGGTTTAAAAGAAAGAATATGTTAATTTTTATCATATTTTAACTTAAATATTAATATCATATTTAAATTAAATTATATATATGTATATATTTATTATTAATTATAACTATATTGCCACCCAGTTACAGTTAAAGTGCTGCTTTAAAATGTTTAATTATGACATCTTTAATTATGACAATATTTCCTTAAGTAATCGCTTAAGAATAAAACATTTAAAATGAATGACAGTATATCCTGTTTTAAAAATTCTTCTCATTTTCAAACTTTTTTGACTTCCAAATAAGCGATATAAACTTTAAGATAATATTATATTTACCTCATTTTAAAATTAGGTATTCTAATAATTGTAATTATTTTTTTCAGTTTATGAACTCTAAGAAACGCTAGTTTTAACAATTTCGTTTTATAAATCTCAATCTTCCAACGAAGTTTTTGACTAGGCAAGCTAATATACGGTTTTTGTGTGATAAAGCTAGCTTTATCATACAAAAACCGTATTTTTGCAAAAATACGGTTTTTGTATGATAAAGCTAGTCACGTATTCTCTGCATTGCTTCAAAAAATATATAAATTGGACTAAGTCATAAAACTTGAATGAATTTTTCTATTTCTTCTATGATAGAGTTATATAAGTTTTTGGTTCTATTTACGTGTTCACCTAGTTATTTTTTTTTAAAGATTATATTTCACTCTTTATATAAGAAGACCCCCAGCTGAAAGTACAGCGCCTGATTAATGTAGGGTACCATTTTGGAATGCTTTATGCGTTAACTTTTAAAAAACCCAACTATTTCGAAATAATTAACCAATTAAAAAAAGTTTTGACGCGTTTTATTAAGCGTTATATTTATAGCTAAACGCTTCAATACAACTTTTGATTGGTTGGAGATTGTCCTATAATTGTCTTTTAGCTATGTTTTGTGAGTTCTTAAAGTCTAGTGTATTTCAAAAATGTTGATGGCGCAGCTGCTGTCGTAGAAATTGTTGATCTTATGTTTTTTAGTTACACTTGACTAATTATATATGATTTTGTTATCTTGCCGCTATTTATCTACACTAACATTTTTTTCTTTTCCGAATAGTTCCGTTAAACTATCCGTGAAAATGTATTTTTAGTCGATTTTTTATTAGCAATTTTAAGCTTTACGCGATTAATTTTTTTGTTTATTTGCATACTGGGTTATTTATATTTTCCTTATTTGATCTTAAGATCTATCTTTTTGAATTTTTTTTTTTTTATTCTAACATTTGCAAGCTTTTTTTTTATTATTAATAGAAATCAGGATGTTTTTTTTATATTTTATAAAGCCATATAACATAAGTAAGCTTTATAAAATAACCTTTTTTTGAACCCCCGTTTTCTAAAATTCTTTCATTTTTATTGTTATTAACGCGATATTTTAAAATACTCCTAAATATGTTAGGAATGTTAATGTGGTAGGAATAGAATTTGTCAACTTAAGATGGAAATGATAGCGTTGTTTTATGTAAAATTAGTTTGTAAAATAAAACCAACATTATAGTTTTTGCAATTTTTTAAAGATATTTGTGTTGCAGAAAGAAGTGAATAAAATCTCTTAGAAATCATTAGGCAATTATTAATTACTACGTATTTTCCGTGTAAACGATTTTAATGAGTTGAACTTTTTTTTTTTTTTTTTTTTTGTTCTTTCTACGCGTAATATTCTATCCGATGAAAAATCTATTTATTTTTTCTGTATACTTTTATGTAAAAAATAAAATATACAACAAGCACGAATTTATATGTTCTATTTATATCTATATTTTAGACGATTTATTATGATATTTTTGAGATAAAACGTTTTTTATTTTGCTCAAATTTTACTTTAGATCAAATATTTAAGAAAGTTTGAAACGTTTGAAAACGTTGACGGAATGGAACCGTTTTTGAAGTATAATTCGACGCAGCTTAAAGAAGATATACAAACAGCAAGAGAAAGAGTAAGTAACAACGGTTATTTCGACCGTAATGCCGTATATTGGCTAGTTGTTGTTTTTAATTTTGCTTTGTTTATTTACGTAGGTCAATGATCTCAAAAAGGAATTGCACGAAACCGCTGGACAAAATGACCTAAATAATTTTGAAGAAATTCACAAAAAAATGCCTTCAAACAGCCCGCTTCAAATACATGCTATAAAAGAGAAATTAAACGAAATGAAAGATATGCGCGAAAAACTTTTGATTGGGCAGCAGGAAAAAATTAAAATTCTGCAGGAGTTGCTTCAACAAAGAGACGAGTATCAGATGAGCGAACACTCAAATTCTAGTGGTCAGGTATACTTTAAGTTCTAATTCTCTGTTTTCTGCAATTGTATCCACAAATATTTATTCTGATTAAAATACTTCTCTTCGTTGTTGCAACTTTTCAATTACGTAAATCAATATATCTCAAGTAGAATATCTTGTTTTATATTATATGCGCGATGTTTTCTTATTTGGCATATAGCATTAGACGACTTTAAAGAATATTTTCTAAAACATAGTTTTTTGCAGCCTATCAATTAATTATATATTTATATTTAAACTTTTTTACTTATCAGTTAATAATAATTTTATCAATAGAAAAAGTTTGGATCTGCCACAAGCTTAAACAGTGTTGGTAGTGGGAACCTTCCTCTGTATTCTGGAATGGACGATAACATTTCTACAAATAAACGACGCCTTAGAAAGGACTATCAGCGAGCATTACAACGGATGAGTGAACTTTATGCTCAACTGGAAATCATCGATTACAGTCTGCAGCTGTCTGAAAATGGACCACAACAAAGGAGATTTATGCTATGTGCTGAGAAAGAGGCGCTACTTTTAGAGATCAAACGCTTTGAAATTTATATTCGCACTGAGGAAGATAGAGTGAGGATTTTTTTAATTTTTTTTGTTTTTTTTTTGTTTTTGCTGTGCTAATTAATGCTTCGAATTTTTACAGAACAGCTAACAGTTTATTTAATAACTTTTGTCTAAACATACGAATACTAAAGTTAATAGCAGCGTCAACGTCTTTTGTCGAATCAGATTGTAGGAATTACCGGTGACGTCAAATAAGAAAAATAAAAAAGATTTAATTTAAAAAAACTAAACAATTGTTTAAAATATTTAAACAACGTCAAATCACGTGATCTATGAATTTATTTTTGCGGACTGTTTTATTAAATTATTACATTAATTAATTGCAATAATTCAAAATTAAATGATAAAACTTTATATTTAAAAATAACTTACAACTTTTAAAAAGATTTAATTAACTTTGAAACTCGATTGATCGCACTTTCAATTTTCTCAATTATTTGTAACCTATTTTTTAAGAATGTTTTTTTCTTTCATTAAGATTCAATTAGAAGAAGAGAAGGAGTTACTAATGCGCGACCTGATATCTGCCAGGGAGTTCTCTTCCAAAGTCATCGATGATAGAATGCAGTTGGAAAAAGAGCGGAAGTTACTGAAGAGGCAACTAGCTGAAAAAACCAGACAAACAAATCTTTTGGAAATAAAGCTCAAAAGGTTAGGAGTTCCATCAAAATGCAATAAAGTTTTTTTTTTTTTTTTTTTTTTTTAATTCTTGTGAGCTAATTGTGTAAAACTTTTTTATGCATTATCAATATAATTTTTTTTTTTTTTACTTTTTTTTTTCAAAATATTCGGAATAATATCATTCTTAATTTAGTCTCTCAGCCAGTACTTTATCCGTTTCATCTACATCAAGTCGAGGATCTGCGTCAACAGAAACAAGAAGTTCTCGAGGCTCATTAAACTCATTGGGTCACCAAGTTGAGTTAGCTAGTGATAATTCTTCTAATTTATATCACTTGACTTCGACCTCATGTCCGCCGATTTATGAATCTCGCGTGTTAGCTAGTCAGGCTGAGACTAGCGAGGGTTTAAACAATACGTGCTGCTCTCCTTGCAGTAGCTCAAGAATTTTTCATTCATCTGCTTTACCATATGCGCACTTTAATGAAATTCATAACAGTGTATGTCTCTTTTAACTAAAATTTATTTTTACAGATTGTTATATTCTAGATGCATTTTAAATTTTAAAAATTTTAATGAAAATTAAAACTTTTAATATATTTTTACACTCAGCCGTGTGTAAAAGTAAATAAAAAATTACTTATAAATATTTTGCTTTGTTTTAGCAGGATGATATTAGAGTTTCAAATGGTACGTCATACATGAGTTATTCAAATTTGCCAATAAATAGTTACCAATACACAATGGGTACAGCGATTGTGTCAAATGCTGTTTCCGACGAATCAGTTGCAGCTGATAGCGGCGTATTTGACCTACCAATTGAACGCAATACAGTTTCGCGTCAAAATAGTGACCATTCTAGTGGAGTTTTTTGTAGCGATGAGCATATGGAAACAGCACAAGTTTGCGTTGGATTAGAGTACGAAAACAATAAACTGATTATTTCTGTCGAAAAAGGAAGACATTTTCGAGCGCTTTATTTTAAAAACTATAAATATGTTTTTGTTCGAGGTCGTTTACTACCAAGTAATAATCTGTTACAATTTCGTACGATCAGATCAAATGTCTCCGACGAACAGAATTTTCACGAACAATTCTCTTTTAAAATAGATCGAACAAAGTTATCAAATAAGACATTGCAGTTGGACTTATGCGGAAATTTAGACGACATTGCCACCGAAGAATGCTTGGTATATAGTTTATTTCCCCACGTGTATATATATATATATATATATATATATATATATATATGTGTATATATATATATATATATATATATATATATATATATATATATATATATATATATATATATATATATGTATGTATGTATGTATGTATATATATATATATATATATTCATTTTTTTTTTCTTAAATATATAGGGTGGAGTTCAAATTAGTTTGGCAGATTTTGATTCTAACGAATGCATTGTAATGAAATGGTATAATTTACTTAGCTCATCGTTTATGAAAGAAGAAACAAATTTGGATCGTTCCGTTTCATCTGTATCATTGGAAAGTGTTCAGCATCGTTTAAACGGGTTACCTCGTAGAGCGACCGATACTGGTTTTATTGAATATAATCGTTACTTAACTAGGTCAAACTCTTGGCAAGAAAGTTTACTTAATAAAAAGTCTTCACAAGATTCAGTTAATAGATTGCCTCTTTCTCGTCTTCTCATTCATTCGCGTTCTCTTTCGGAAGAACAGGAGCGCCTTGCTCAAGAACCAAGCTTTCGTAGTTGTGTATCTGATTGTACTGATGCTCGTTGTAAACTTCCTTTTGAACGAATGGGTATAGGTCGTTGCAGTGTAAGACATAATAGATTACCTCAAAAAAGTTTATCATTTAAGGTAAACACGCCTAATTCTTCACGAAACGTTCTGTGCGATAAACCTTTTATGACATCTATTGATCTTGAATTAGAAATACAAGAGGCTTATTTAAAACAGGTTTATAAATTTTATATAAACTTTTGAAATACTAAAGTTAAAGTTTGTTTTATTGTGTTCAAAATTAAAATTATTTTTTTATATAGGAAAAACTGAATGAAGAAATAACCCGTTTAAAAGAAATCCATAATCTAATAGCAGAAAATAAATTAGAGGGCCGAGATGAACTGCCTCAATGGCTTGTAGAAAACGGGGAAAATTTTGATGTTTTATTAGACGAAGCGCGAAAAGAGGTTTTTTTTTCCTTACTTTTTTGAGTTTATTGTATTATGCTTAGTTCAAATTCATATAGAAAAAGTTATGCAAAGACGATTTATGAATTTATTTTCGTTCTAATTTTAGGTATCATCAAATCTTTCAAATCATTTCAGTTTTCAGTTCGACCAAACACAACATTTTAATGAAATAGAAAGAGCATACGAAAAGGTTCGTATGATTCCAATTAATGACAATGCCAATATAAAGCTCAACCCTGTGAAAACATTACCGATGGAGAAACCTGAGATACATTGGGTTTAGTTTTTTTTAATTCGTTTAAAAATGATATTTATACATACTCAAACTGTGACAATTGCAATTATTGCAGTTTTTTGTTCTCAAATGTTTAATATACTGTAAATATTATTTATTTATATATTTTTCAATAGCTTTAATTTTGTATTTGAAATCAATTTACTATTGATTTAAAAACATTGAATTAGGTTAGAATATTTTTACATTTTCTATTAACATGAAAACATTGTATACAATGAATTAAACCTTATAAAATATTTATGTTATAAACATTTTATTATTAATGTTAAATTTTAGTAACATTTCTAATAACCATGTTTTTGACAAATGTCTTTTATATATATATATTTTTTTTTTGCCGTAGTAGATTCCCTTTAGTCGAGACCTGCCTAAAACCATAACTCATTATATGTACTGAAGGTCCTCATTATATATACTAAAGCGTTATTAGGTAGACCATTCTAGTTTTAAAGTTTTTAAAAAAAAATCCGCGCATTTCGTAAGCAATATAACCACCTCCCGTATACGCAATATGATGATAGATTTGCACATATTACTGTTGATTACGATCATTGACACTACGTATATCCTAGAAAATTTAATATTGTGTTAAATTTTATTAATTTAACACTATTTTATATCATCTTTCCCTACCTTCTCCTCCCCCTTTTGAATTTTTAAGTAATTTTTAACCACTCTGACTTTCCGTATGTTTTGTTCACAAAACATTTTGAACTGTAGTAATAAGAAATTCAAAATCTTACGTTTTTAGATTTAAGTAAAAAAAAGGAATTGCTTTAGTTTTGAAACCTTCGCCCTTCATTGTAGTAGTTCCATAGAGGTTTATTTAATCAAAATGTAATATCATTGTCTTCTCAGTTTTTAAATATGTTTTTCATTTTCTGTTATTCCAGAGCTATGTCCAAAAGATTGTTTATAGAGCTAAGTCCTAAATAATTGGATTAAGCGACGCAGAGTTGATTTGTCTGTCTTGCCAGTACTTAAAAATCGAACTTGTTCAACATCAATATCTCCTGGTCGGGCCATCCTATTCTCTGGAAATTTCTTTATCAACTAATGTGTGTATTAGCTGTGTAAGCTCTTTGAAGGTTCAGAAAATATTTGCTTAAGTTAATTACTTCAAATTTCTGTTATTCATCTCATATTTATAACCCAAACAGTGGTGATGTTGAGGAAGTGTCTGTTGCGTCAGAGCTTGAAATATTTGACAGTGTAATTGACAACAGTTTATCATTAGTTGAAAAAGAGTTTAATAATGAACGACTACAATAGTTAGAGGCTTTCTAATGCAATGTTTCTGAGAATCAGAGAATAACGAAAACTCTAAAAAACTCTGGAGAAAATAAAATTCTTACATTTAAAAAAAATTGGCTACAAGAATATTCATGGCTTAACTACAATTCTTCTACTCGTGGTGGTTACTGTCGTACATGTCTTTTATTACCCAACAAAATAACCCATGTTTTAAAAAAATTAAGTCGTTGACTAAATACCACATTGAAGCACTTGAAAAACAAGTAATTTAACTTTTAACTAATTTAAATTATTATTATTATTACCCATATTGGGATTATTACTTATTCAAATTTTTCACAGTCTAAAAATAAAGTGACAATAATATTTTTATAAAACTCTGCTATAAAAACTAAATACTTTTTATTGAATATTTATTTAGTAAAAAATACTATTATAAAAATTAGGAAAATAATTTTAAGTAGAAAAGAGGTAGAGAGGAGTTCATATTTGACTATTCTACAAAGAGGTTATAAAGCGCAGATAAATTTTGACAATTGTTTAATACTCAATTATTAAAATTTACAAAAACATTCATTTTTCAATAATAAATATCACGCAAATAGTTTGTTTTTTTTTAAATGCAATTAAAAATTAGTATACTAATTTGACATTACCATGATTTTAAGTTTGGAGTTTGCATAATGCTTAAACAAGTCATATATAAAATATCAAAAAAATTATTGTAACATTCAACAATGTATTACCGCCTTCAATTTAAAAACAAAGTTTGAATTAGTGTTTTTTGAACAATGTCAAGTTGAATTGGTTGACTTGTGTTAATTCAGCCTGAACATAGTGTACATCATCTTCATCATTGTTCTCAAAGTTTATCTCATTTGGAATTTCTAATCCTAAGCAATTGTAAAGGTTTTCCAGCAAATATTACATAAAATATATTTTGCAATATATTGTTTGGGTGAGCATATGTTAGAAGCACTGAAGTGCTCCCCCTCTCTTGTGACCTCCAATGGTATTTGAGATAATCAAAAGATTGCTCCACATCACTATCTACCTGAAGGTGAATTTTATTGAAATATGTTTTCTCTAGTGTAGTTAGCTGATGATGTAATCATGACTGTTAACAAGCAAAAGGAAATTAGTTATATTTCAATGTCTTTTTTAATTCAGAAATAGAAAAAATAAAAACCTTTATCAACGGTACCTTTTGACAACATCTCTGTAAAAGGAAAAAAGCTATTTTTGAATAAGTCGTCGATAAATCAACTCTTTCAAACTTCATTCGTAACAGTCAATTAATAACAAAAAACTGCGAAATAGAATATTTATAAAGATATAATTGTTTTGTTAATATTATAATTCAACAATTATATATATATATATATATATATATATATATATATATATATATATATATATATATATATATATATATATATATATATATATATATGTATATATATATATATATATATATATATATATATATATATATATATATATATATATATATATATATACATCTCTGTAAAAGGAAAAAAGCTATTTTTGAATAAGTCGTCGATAAATCAACTCTTTCAAACTTCATTCGTAACAGTCAATTAATAACAAAAAACTGCGAAATAGAATATTTATAAAGATATAATTGTTTTGTTAATATTATAATTCAACAATTATATATATATATATATATATATATATATATATATATATATATATATATATATATATATATATATATATATATATATATATATATGTATATATATATATATATATATATATATATATATATATATATATATATATATATATATATATATATATATATATATATACATATATATATATATAACACCAAAATCATAACTGCATCATAGCAATATAGTTACTGTTATGTTACTAAGATTTTATACTATATTAATAACATCTTAATATATATAAATTAAATATATTAAGTTTAACTTAATTATTAATATAACATGGTTAATGGTTGTCATAAAGATGTTATAAAGATATATCAATATTAGTATAAAGTTATATCAATATTTATTTACAATATTACATCATAATGCATTCAATTTAAATATATTTAGGTCCTATTTTATGCTGTTATATTACAATTATAAGATAATAAATTTTCATATTATACAAAATTATAGCAATAATATTATAATAATAATATTATAATACACGATGTTTTATTACTATATTTTATAATAATATAACATCTAAAAATTAAGATGTTGAGTTAATAAGTTGTTAAATTATTATGTTGCATTTTTATTTGTGTTAATATCTGTGATTATTGTTAACTTTATTATAATATATACAATTTATATACTTAAATTGTATATATTGTAATTTATCTCTGATCTCTGAATTGTATATATTGTAATTTATCGCTCCTGATCCTCAGCGAAAAAAATAATTATCCTCTATGTTTCCATAGAGATCATGGTTCTTTGCAAGACAATGAATCTGATGTTTATAGGGCAGTCATAAAATTCAGAAGTGAAACTGATAAAACTTTAAAAATCACTTTCTTTCAGCAAAAAGTAATGATGCTTACGTATCTTTGGGCATTCAAAATGAGTTGATTGATCACATTGGTAATCAGATAAAGCAAGAGGTTGTTAAAAGAGTTTAATCCTCAGAGGTTCCATCTTACAGCATCATTACAGATGAAGCTACTGATTCCTATGCTAATAAATTATGTTTCTTGTATCTATGTATCTTGCTATATTTCTACTCTGTTTGGCTGGATACCCAGGAACACATTTCTAGAATTTTGGAAACTCAAACGAGGAAATGATGACCACATTACTCAAGCTGTTTTGGTTTCTTTAGAAGAAGACCCAAAACAAAATGGGTTAGATGTTAGTAAATTACAAGGACAAGCATATGATGGGGTAAATGTTATACCAACTGCAAATCGTGTACAAGAGAAAGTAATAAATGTTGCTCAAAAAGCAGTGTATTTGCACTGCTATTCTCATCAGTTAAATTTAGCAATTGCTGCTTCTTTTAAATTAACTATGTGAGAAAATTCACTGAATTGATTGATGAAAATTACCTTTTCTTACACTTTTCTTAACTCTAAAACGACAATCTTTTTTTGAAACTTGCTGGCTATGAATTTTCTCGTTCTGAAAGTTATTTATTCGCCGCAGGAGTTTGAAGATCTGTATTCTCGGGAAGAGTGGAATTGGGATCGTGAAAATAAACCACAGCACAAGGTTTTCTTGCGATTTGGATTAAGTTTCCAATTCTGATGACATTAATTTGCGTCATAAAATCCTTAGCCCATGCAAAGCCTCCTGCAGTAAAACCTCAAAAACGTGCAATTGACATATTAAGCGCAAAAAATGTTCTTTATCTAGAAAAAACTAGTTATCTTAATGAGATAAGTTTAAATTTTTCTATTTGGTACAGTGAAGCTAAGGTTCTTGCTACACAAGCTGACATTACTGAAAGCCAACCTCGATGTATAGCAAGAAAACGATAGGAACATCGCAATAATGTTCCAGCAGAAAAAATAGAGGATTATTTTTCAATTTTTTCTTTGCTCAATCATTTGCAAATGGAGCTTGTCGCACATCTTGTACACAATTTCAGAATGCCTTTAAACGCTCTTTATTTACTGGCATTAAACATCACAAAGGTTTCAGCAACTTTTACTAACTCTGATTACTGGATGGATGAGATATCATCAGAGATGGAATTGGAGAAGTGAACTAAATATATGGAAAAATATTTTTAAAAACATGTCAAAAAGTAAACTACCAGAAGAAATTCCCAATGTTTTCAAACTTTTAATCCATTTGTGTATTCTTTCGGTTACAATTACTGAATCAGAAAGATCATTTTCTGTACTAAAACGAGCAAAAACGTATCTGCTATCAACTATGCATCAAACGCGTTTGACTCAGATGTGTTTATTTTTTTATGCTTTTTATTTTTTCGGAATGCAAACCCTACTTGATTTAAATAAAATAGTTTGAGCTTTTATAGAGTTGAGGGATAATTAATTTGAGTGGAACAAAGTCTTAGTTAACCA